TGGAGTGTTTTGCTGTGCATTCTCAAAAGGACCTAGCTCAGTTGTCTTGGTAGGACCCAGGAGGCAGCAGTGTCTTCAGCTGGTTCCATCCTGAGACTTCTCTTCCATGAGTCGATCAAACCCCATTCCATCTATCTGTCCTCATCCATCATTACTAGCTCCCCAACCACCTTGGTGGTCCTTCACTCTCCTGTGTCCAGAGTGTCAAGGTCTCTCTTTTACTGGGAGAGCCCACAACTAAACAAAATACTCTGGAAGTTGCCCCATGAGTACAAAGGAGCAGGTAAGAATTCCTTCTGATGACCTGCTGGTTTTGCTCTTGCTGGTGCAGTGCAGTCTGTGAGTAGCCTTTGTCACTGAGGTGCCACACACTGCTGAGGTGCCATGCTGGTGACTTGCCTGCAGCTCATCCAGCAGAAGGTCCAGGCTCTCTCTTGCTGAGCTCACCTGTCCAGTCAGCCCCAGTGCATGGCTGAACCTTGCTAAGGAAAGACAGATGAAAATACTTTTCCTGTTGCTGCTTATGTGTCTGAGCAAATGCACAAATAGGAGACCTGGGAGCTGGTTTGTCAGCCTGGGCACTTGAGAGAGATCCATCACAGAGTGGTTATTTAGGACACGCAGAAAACCACGTCTCCTGCTCTACCCCTGGGACGCAGGCAGGATTGATCAGCGTGTCTGAGAGAATAGGGAAGTGGGTCTAATGAGCTGGAATACGTCTTGTCGTACAGGGGAACTGTGCAGCAGGCAGGGGAGTCGTGTGTTATGCAGCCCAGAGTTAATGAGTGAAAATTGGGCTGGCAGAAGCTCTGCTGCTCCTGCGAGGGCTGTGGTTTGAGGAGTGTGCTGCCCTAATTGGGCTGGGCAGAGGGGGGTGATGGCTCCTGCTGCTGGCAGTGCCCTCGTTAGGTGTGTGTGTATCAGGTTAGCAGGGCTATCACTGCGAGCAGAATACCCAAATCACATTATTATAACTCATTTCTCTTTGCTTGTGTTCAATCTTGACAATGCAAGATGATGCCTTGTTACTGTTTGATTTGAGAAAACTAACTCCCATCAAGAAACAGCAAAATTGCCTGATACAGTAAGCACAGAACCACATTTGTTTTTATCATTCCTAGTTGTTAGGATTCCCTAACTTTGGTGCTCATGGGGAGGGTCTGCTGCAGTAGTCTCTGTGCTCTTGGCTCTGGTATCCTGTGCCCTGCTGCTGTGATTGTAATGCCTCGTATCACCTTGCAATGATAATGAATTACCTGTTGTTTTGGGTTGTGTCATGAGTACACTGGCCCAAGAGCAATCTGCTTTTGATATTAAATGTGTCTGCCTCCCTGTTGGTTGTCCTTAACACCCAGTACATGTTTCCATAGCTGTGGTTGACTTGCTGCAAGAGCTGACTGATATAGATACTCTCCATGAGAGTGAAGAAGGAGCTGAAGTCCTCATAGATGCTCTCGTGAGTAGGAAACTCCAGATTATTTCAGTGTCTCAATATCTGCCTCCTACAGCCCAGCAGTGAACACTGACCCACCCCACATCCTGCAGCTGTGGGTGTCCCTGCTGCCAACATCACAGTGGAGATAGCCAGGAGAAGCCTGTTCTGTTCTGCCTGAGACCAGTGCTAAGGAAACAATGGGTGTTTACAATGGAACACCAGAATGTGGGGTGTAGGAGATTCTCGCACATTGTTAGACCACTTCTTTTGTGGAAGGAACACACTCATGTTACAAAATTTGTGTAGACTGGGAGATTTTTGTTCATGCAGGAATGGGGTAATAATATTTGTGACTTGGACAGTGCCCTATTGAAAATAGGAGCTTCTTTTGCATTTTCCTTCGGTGTGTGAAAGGGTGACCTGTGTTCACCTGTGAAAAACTGAAGTTTGTGGCAGGGACTGTTACCTGAAGGACAGTGGGGTCACTGTCATCTTAGAACCACTTGCACAGGAGACTGGTTGTTTTCTACCCAGTAACTCTTGATTCAGACCCAAAAGTCTGTGCTTGAACTGGGACATCTGCTGTTACAGCGAGGATGTAATTTTTCTTAACAAGAAAAGGTTGAAAGATTTCCTGTAACAGAAATGTAAAGGTGGAGGAGGGTTCGGAGATAAGGATCCTCTTTGGCATAGAGATTGGATCACCCCAAAAGATTACCTATGTCCAGTAGAAGATGCATTGCTTGGTATTAAGTGCTCCCTGCATGGTTAACTCTCTGAGTGCCTCTGTGGGGGTGGATTTCACCTTTTCTTGGTGTTTGTGCTGGATGCAAAGGCACCTCAGCTGTGAAAAGAGGACAGTGAACGAGTCAGAAGCCTTTCAGAGTGATGATGCCCAGCCAAACCTGAGATTGACAGGTCTGTCATACCTTGGGACATCATCTGCTGGTGAATCGCTGTGTTTGCGGGTCAATGTGGCTGTGCCTGGTTCTGTAACTATTGTGTTGAAATTGGAAGATGGGGAATTACAGGTTTTCTTTTGTTTGCTTTGTTTGGCTGCTCTGTTTCCTCCTACAATTCTTCTTGTCCAGTCACTATAATGTTACCTTCCAAAGGTTAATGACAGCAGCCTGGAGCCCAGTTCCTCCAGCTGGCCTCTGGGCTTTGTTAATTACTCTGCCTTGGTGGGGAGATTGCTGGGTGAATGAAAGGAGAGAGAGGAGCTGCTAGAGAAGATGTTTTCTATAAAATGTGTGGAGAGGTAGTAAATCAAGCAGAGTTTTTTCTCTGTTTTCCTTGTCACCAGCCCACTGATAACAGCCAAGTTTTAGAGGTTTCATTGTCCTTTTTGAAAGCAACAGGTCAGGCCTATCTTGTGAGCAGTGTTTAGATATCTGCTGTTTAGATTACTGTTGGTTGGGGTTTTTTTATAGGAAAGTAGGTGTAAGGTTGTAGGGTATCTGTGAAGATGGTTGTGGCACTGTATTCCACAGCAGCCTGTACTTGTGTTTTCGTCACATGTTCGCAGGTACCGAAGCTGTTAACAGTGTTTGAATTGAAAATGTTATTTTGTTGAACTGTTCCAAACTCTTGTCCACAATGGGAAGTTTGCCAGGCAAGCTGGATTCCGTCCAATGGCAGCTTTAGAGGTGTATTTCTGGTGTGAGTCTGGTGATTTGGGGACTTCCCCCTGCCCTGGGGCTGTCTGGCTTTCTTTAGCTCTCTGAAGTTAGTTGGTGCTTTCATCCTGAGAGGATTTAAATGCAGGACTTCAGCTGGTGATTGTTCAGCTCTTGGGTTTGGATCTGTGGGTGTGAGCATTGTTCTGTCAGCTTCTTGTGCCTGTTAGGGTGAAAGGTACAACAGCAATGTAGGCAGACAGCAGTGCCCAGCTGAGAGCAGAGCTGCTTGCAGAGCTGACAGCTCTCCCGTCCGTGGTGGTTTGTGTGCCTCAGAATTCTGAGGGATTATAAATCAATCAGGCTCGTTCAGGAAATAAGACTGTGACAAGGTGCATGTTTACCTCCTGATGTTTTGCTGTTTAATCTGAAACACAAAAGTTGTTTAATTAATTAGGACAAACATAGTGACAGATTTACTTGATGATTCCTTCGCTTCCTCTGAGATTTTACAGCAAGGTTGTTCATGTCTTCTGATCATGCCTGACAGGGTGTTTCAGTAGGGCTTAGAGATTTTTATTATTTATTAACCCCTCCTTCTGTTCTTTCTCCTTCATTGTCCTTTATCAGTCTCATTTCTTATCTTTTTTTATCTTTCCTATGACCTTGTGGATTTAGGTGGAAGGCCAAGTCGTAGCCTTGTTGGTCCAGAATTTAGAGCGCCTGGATGAGAGTGTGAAAGAGGAAGCTGATGGTGTCCACAACACCCTGGGTAAGCACCTGCTGCACAGCCCCTCGCAGGGTGGGTTATCCCACCTCTTCCTTCTCTCCCTCCTTCTTTCCCCTTTGGCTGCTTGTGCTGCAGTATAGGATCTGGTGCAGCCTTTGTTCACAGCTTGAACTCACTGGTCCCTCGTGCCCGAGATTGTCCCATGGCTGCTGGAAAAGTGCCTCTTCCCAAAGTGTTTGTGTAGGGAGATGTGGAGACATGGATGAAACTGCACTGCACCAGAGGGAATCACAGTACCATTTAGATTGGAAAAGCCCTCTCAGATTACCAAGTCCAGCTGTTCCCTCAGCGCTGCCAAAGCCACCACCAAACCCCAAGTGCCACATCTACATAGCTTTTAAATCCCACTGGGAATTGTGCTCCGCTGCCCATGTATTTACTTTGTACATGATCTTTGAGGTCTTTTCCAACCTGGTTGATTCTGTGATTCTGTGTCTGTGAGCTTTACATTGCTTCTGTCTCAGCAATGTATTTAATTTCCAGTAGTGAAACATTTGCATTTCATGCAAGGGCATCATTACCTCTTTGCTCCCTGATGTGTGCACAGCACAAAACTTTTGCAGAGTGTTCCCGTTGTTGGCAGTCAGACCATCATCCCCTCTTTGCTGTCATTCAGGATGGAAATCTCCCAGGACTGGAAAAATTAGAAGGACTGAAAACATGAGGTTTGGAATTTTTCAAGGGGAAAAAACATCTGTTTTCTGTGTCTTGTCAGGAATTGTGGAGAACATGGCAGAGTTCCGGCCAGAGATGTGCACAGAGGCTGCCCAGCAGGGCCTCATGCAGTGGCTGCTCAAGAGGCTGAAGGTGAGCTTGTTTCCCACCTTAGATTAAGCCAATTTTGCGTGTGTGTGTTGGAGAAGCCAAGTCAAGGACAAAAAGTTGTAATTGAGGGTCTGTATCCTCAGTGGTTTTAGTTTAAACAGACACACGTCTGTCTTTGTAACCATCTTGCAGTAGAAGGTATCTGCATGAAAGTATCATGGATTTTTGGGTCCATGGCTGAGATCATTAGGAATAGGAAAGCTGACCACTGAGTGGGGACACTAATAAAGACTATTTTATGCCTTTGCATCCCATATTTCTAACACTTTCTGAGTTTCAAATGGTGCCTATATTTAACTGCTGCTGGGGGTGGTTTTTGCTTTGACCTCATCTAATTGCCTTTTGAATTCAAAATGACTTTTCATATTCTCTGCATCCTATGGCAGTGACTTGCACGGTTTAACACTGTCTTGTATGAAAAGATGCTTAAACATTACCTGGATGCTGTGGGAAAGGAATGGACAGGTCAGCTCTCTCACAGAGCTAGTGAGGAAAATTTAGCAGATTCTGGCTGTTCCCTAACCCTGTCCGTAAGGCATTACCTCTTCCATGCTTAAATGTCAGCATGATTAGAAAGCTGCTGAATCCCAGAAATGCTCCAACAGCTGTGTAAGTGCAGATACCCCTCTGTGCACCTCACATCCTTGTTAGCAGAAATAACCTGTAATTTCTCACTACAGGTCGTAACATAATTACGTTATTTTGCTTAAAAAGAAAAAGTGAAGTTAATTTTAGTTCAGGCAGGTTGGTACTGCTGCCTGCCTTGAATTACTGTGGCAGCTGAAAGATTGAGAAATTTGGGAAAGCAAAATAATCCCAACTAGGATTCCCCTGCTTGGTGGCACAGAGCATGAATGCTCGAGGTGTTCCAGGTTTGTGCAGTGTTTGTCCTTTGCCCTGGCAGTATTATCCCTGGGTTTGGGATGTGGGATCTGGCAGGGCATTCTCTTGCCTGCACACTGTTCAGGAGAACTAATGAACCCCTCTCCAGGCACTTTTGCTCTTGGCAGCACTTGGTCTGGAATCTCTCACCCTGACAGATGTGGTTGGGATTAACCCAGGATCTTGGCAGCTGGTAGAGTGTTGTGCTGCTGTGGAATGTCTGAGGGATGAGTTTTAAGATCAGGGTTCTGTCTGGGCAGTGGTGAGGACATCTGGCACACAGCACAGAGCATGAATTTCTGTTTCCTGACCACATTTCAGGTCGCATAATTGTATTGTGGCTGTCAGAGCTGTCTGGGAAAGCTCAGGTGGAGAGCTCATACCTCCCTTCCCCAAACACAAACACGGTTTGGTGATGTTGTGTGCAGCCTTGGGAGATCAGACTGTTGTTTCCCAGTGCTTGTAGGGCAGCAGTTGGTCACCCCATGACAGAAGCTGGAGGAGCTGTACAGCACTGAGCACCTCCACTCTCCTCCACGAGCTGCTTGGAGGTATCATCTGGCTGCTGTAACTACTATCCTCTGCAGGGTGGTTGGGGATCATTCAGAATTAAGAGCTTTAATTAAAGTCAATACTTTGTGGCATTTAGGATCTTCCTGGTTTCTGTGTCACATGTTGCTTGTGCACTGTGCCCTGTTCCATGGCAGCAGGGCAGGAGGACTAGCCCCACAGCCCTGTGCAGGCAGGGCTGGCTGTCATGCTGCAGGGAGTTTTGTGTTTGGGGGCAAAAACTGGGTGACAAATGCTATGTTTTAAGCCTAGTACCTCTGCTTCTCCCCCCTCTTGAACAGTGGGATACAAGTAGCTGGTAACTAACGATTTTTAAGCTTGTTTTATTTTATGAATCCCTTCAGTAAACCTGTTTGCATTATTACCTGATCAGTTAATGTTCAGTCTGTAGATGAAGCAGCTTTGGCAGCATGCAAAAACATTGGATCCAGTTCAGAATCCACTTTAGGGACATATTTATTTTTTTGGTTCAAATTCAGCAGTTTGGTTTCATTATGATTTTTTTCTGTTTAGCATGTCTGAGTATGGAGGGAATGTCTGAAATGGAAGTTATGTGACTCTGCAGGCAAAACCCATCTCAAGTCCTTCTGACTGTGACACTGTGATCCTCATACAAAGCTCTGACAGTTCCTATTTAATGGTTCTGTGATGTATGTTCTGAAATTCTGGTTTTGCTGACAGGTGCAGACTTACAGAGCAGGGATAAGCCCTGTGCACCCATGGAAAAAAAACTATCACAGGAAAGAGACACTGTTGCAAACCACTGGAGACTGTTCTCAGGGGTTTTGAGCTACCTTGGCCAAACCTGCTGATGTAGGGCAGCGTGGAGGACCACAGTGGAGTTTCTCCACGTATGCACAAGGCCACACATTCCCCCATCACCCCTGAATCAGAGAGAATTATTGCGGTTCTGTCACTGAGGCAAACTGCAGAGTTACTGCTGTTGTGTTTTGCTTTAAGTGTTACTCACACATTCAGTGATTTGATTAATGTGTTCTTCAAATCAGTGAGACATGGAGAGCTGTGCCCTGATGGGTCTCTTGTTCTTTCCCCCACAGGCTAAGATGCCTTTTGACGCCAACAAGCTGTACTGCAGTGAGGTGCTGGCGATTCTGCTCCAGAATAACGATGGTGAGCCATGCCCACGGCATCACTGTTTGTGAGGGCAGGATCCAGGCTTCTCCCAGATCACAGCAACCCTCTTCTGCCTCTGGCTCCCCTTTGCTGCCTCTCTCCCGCGTGTGCTCCCTCGCAGACACATCCACCCTCTCTTTCTCTGCGGCTTTTGTGCTCTGTCAAGACGTATTGATTTTGTTTGCTGATGTATCAGTGTTAGATGGCTGTAAAATCTGACAGTTAGCTTCATTTTTCTCTCTCTGTTCCCCCTTCCCCCCACCTCCGTCTAGACAACAGAGAATTGCTTGGGGAGCTGGATGGGATCGATGTGCTGCTTCAGCAGTTATCTGTGAGTAATTCCCACACGCCCTCTGTGCTGCTGGGTGACTGGCAGGCTGGGTGGGAGGGGTGGAATAGGTCTGGGGTGCAGTGCTGTTCTAGCAGTGCTCAATATTTGGTGTGGCATAGTCCCCGAATACCTTCCACACAGTGTATCATCCATGGTCACATCCATACTTGTGGTGAATCTGCCCTTCCCCGTGGAGATCCCATATATTGTCCTTTAAATCCTGAACCAAGCTGCTGCACATCTGTGTGTGTCCAGTCAGGGCAACAAAAGGCAGGAGTGTTACAGAGAAGATGAATCAGTGACCTGTGTGATCACTGACTTACACCTGGCAGGTGCTGGAGGCTTGTGGTGCAAACTGTTCACGTGTGCTCTGCCCAACTTGAGTCCTTCATTTGGGAGCAATGTTGCTTTCTTTGTCATGCAGGTGTTTAAACGGCACAACCCAAGTACTGCAGAGGAACAGGAAATGATGGAGAACCTGTTTGACTCCCTTTGCTCCTGCTTAATGCTCAGCTCCAATCGTGATCGCTTCCTGAAGGGTGAGGGTCTGCAGCTGATGAACCTCATGCTCAGGTACCCCATTAACATTGTGATTTCCTTCCTGCTTTTGATGTACCAGCACATGTTCTGGCTGTTTAATAGATATTTGTGTTTTTATTATAAAATTTCTGTGTTAGGGTATTTGTCTGTATTCTTTCTTTTTTTTTCCAGCAGGTAAGTTGGACCTTCTCAGACATGGAAGCTCCACTCTCTCTTTATCTTTGTTTCCTAAGAACTGAGGTTACTACAATAGCTGCTGGAAAATAACAGTGCAGGTCTTTCATCTGGGTGCCTACCACAGAGAATGCTGTAGGTCAGGTCACTAATCCTCTAAGGATTTCTATGACCCCTATGAGGGCAGCAGAGAACCTTTGGATGTCTCTAGGGAAAAGATTTTTCCCTTTGTTCCCCAGTTCAGGCTCCACCATGTTGTGTAGCCTCTGAACTGCTGAATTTTTATGGATGTTGATACAAAAATTGCTTTTGTGAATGGGGCATAAGTTTGCATTTCTTGTGCTGTGGTTTGTCACACCCTGAACCTCTGGGATTCTCTGCTCTCTCTTCACTTTTACTTGCTGGCCTGGCACTGAGTTGTGTCTGCTGGGCTGTTTGGTTCCCCAGACCTGCAGGAGGGCACAGTGGGCTCTGTCTGGCTGTCCCCAGAGTGCCAGGCTGCGTGCTGGCGGGTTAGCAAACACCAGCTAGGAATGCTGAGTTCCTGCAGTGCAGGGCTGGGGAATGTGCAGCAGCAGGGAACTGAATAAATAACCCAACATGGATTATACAAATAGGAACACTGGGTTTTCTTGAGGCTAATTAAGGAAAAGCTCCAAAACTTAGAATGGGAGGGAGGCCTCCCTCTGCCTGGAGTCCTAAGCTGCTAAGCCAGCCTTGCAGAACTAATTACTTGGAGTTCTTGTGCCATGTGGGTGGGACTCAGCGTTTGGATTTTTAATAGCTTTTTCCCCATTTTTGGACTCTACTGTTTACCAGTCTCGTACCAGGATCCCAGCTGGAAAATTATGATGAGGAAAATTTCTCCCTGGCTGCATTTCTCCACCAGCAGTCATAGCAAAGGAGTTGGGAGGGACAGAGCGTGACTGATCTGCCAGCAGCAGCTCTGTCTGGTGGACAGAGTTTCCAAGACCTCTGTCTAAGCATCTGTGGATGCTTAGAACCCAAACCCATTCTACAGTTTGAATGGGATTGGTAAAGTACAATGGGAAACAAGTAACAATTCACAGTATGTGTTCTGGAAGCTTCTGTCACTTCTGTCCACAGGCATGGACTATACTGACAGCTGATTATTTAATTTTTAACAACTCTTCTAATCTAGTTCTAGTGCTTGGAAGCTCTCAGAGCTGCTCAGTTTTTCTTGGACAGGGTGGCTTGGGTGACCACAGGCTGGTGTTGTAATGGGAATTGGGCCCAGACAGCTGTGATCTGGAGCTGCACAGGAGTATTGCATGTCTGTATCTTCTTCATACCTCTTCATGAAAAACAGCAGACAACAGAAGTGTCATTCAGTTGTGATTGACCACCTCGCTCACAAACAAGGTGGAGTATTTTTCTCTCCTGTCGGTGTCCTCTGAAGGCTGAGGGCAGAGATCAGTTATGTTTTGGTTTTGCTTCAGGGGTGGTTAATCATTGTACCACGGTCTGTGCAGATGAAAGGACAAATAGGCAAAGTTGAAAGTGTATTGACATGATGTGAGATAGATAAGCTGTGTGAGAATAAAGATATCAGGCTTGAATCTCCATTACTGTCGTAGGGAACACAGCATTCCGTGTCCTATGCTGCCCAATCCATCTAGCCAAGTCGTTCCATTATTGATGGTCCTGCACACAGACCTGCAGAGAGGTGCAGCAGCTTTTGGATCAGTATTTAATGTGCTAGTGATATTCCTACAGATAGTCATGAGAACTGAACTGGTTTCTCTTGTGCTGAGCCTTAAAACGCGTGGCCAACAGCAAAAGGTGATGTGTTGTGTGAACTTCTCCTAGTTTATGGGGAGACAGTGGTAACACCTGAGAATGAGCCTGATGGGGCTGATGTGCCTTAGGTGCATATCTGTGGGCAGCCGAGTCTGGACTTGTGCTGTGGTCTGGGACTTGCAGTTGGCCCTGGGGAGTGGAGCTTCACCAAGCAGGTACATGGGAGGTGAGAAAAGCAGGTTGAGTGGTACAGAGGTGGTGACAGCAGAGGTGAAGTAGGAAGTTTGGAAGTAGGATAAGAGCAGGGGTATATATAATTATTTACTTTGCATCTCTGCACCAAGGGAGGCTCGTTTATTTTATGGAGGGTCTGTATCAAAACCAAGCTGGTTTATTAAGGAGTTAGCCACCAGTGGAAAGTTTAGAAATGTCCTGTAGAATTAAATTAAATTTTCTTTCTAGGTCAAGAAGCACTTTGTAGTGCTCAGTCCCTCAGCCTTGCCTTGGTAACCTAACTGCAGTTTACCTTACAAAGCCAAGAGAGAGGAAAACAGGCTTGTCCTGTCAGCTCCCTGGCGCACGCTGACAGGCAGCTTATTGCTTTGGCTGTAGAACTGTGTTGGGTCTGAGGAGATGCAGCCGTGCTGCTCCCGGGGGATGTGTCAGGGAGATTCTCTGTTGCACAGGGAAAATGACGTGTGGCTTTCCCAGCTATTAACTGAGGAGCACGTGCATGCACAGGGACAAAGGCAGCTCAGGGAGCTCTCAGGGACCTGCATCACTTGGGCTACACAATGTTCTATCCTGGAGCTATGCCAGGGCTTTTCTTGACCCTCAATAAAGCTTTTGCTCCTGTTCAGCAAAACAAGGTGAAAACGGGCAACTCTGTATGCTCCCTGAAGCTTGACTGTAGCTATTTCAGGGTATATTTTTTATGATTATTAAAATCTTTTTATGTTTTCTTGTCCTGCTGTTCCTAATGACCCCATGGAAACTCAGGCTGTCTTGTTACTAAATCTGGTTAATTAAACGGAGCCGTTTTATGCAACGCTTTTCCAGGAAATCTAGTATTCTGCTTTTGCTCGTGTTTTGGAAAGTGAGAGGCTGTTTTCTGCTAATGTGGACAGTCCAAATAATGTCAGCACCTCTTCTTTTTGAAATAGCACATGTACCAGAAGAGTTGTCTTATATGTAAAGATACTAAAAGGAGGAAAACAATGGTTAGTGGATGAAGTTGTGATACAGAGTTCCTGTGAAGACTGAGGTCCCTCCCTGTTTGGTGATCCTCACGTATGCCTGTCTGTGAATTAGTGTTCAGCTAAAAGTTCCCTCAATAAGCACAGATGAGACTAAGATAAACTACTTGCCCTCCAGCAGAATAAATATTTCAAATAAAATCAACTCCAGACAGTCCAGTCAAGCAGCTATTGATCTCTAAAAGCCTGAACTTAAACCCAATGAATATTCCAGAGCTCAGCCCTGCTCAGCCTTCCTAAATGCTGATCAATATGCAATTACTTCCCCTGAAAACATTTCTGGTGTCATCTGGCCTAAGGAGTACTTTATTTTTAGCTCTCTGTAGTGGGGAGGTGGGGAATGTCAAACCACCTTCCTGCATAGCCCTTGACTCCTGTGGGGAGCTCAGACCCCGACTAGACGTGGTGCCCTCCACCTCCACACCGTGCTCGTCAGAAGTGCCTGTGGCTGCACTGCTCAAGGTCACTTTCTCGTAGGCTGAGGTGTTAATACATGGGTTTTTCTAGTTTGCATGTTGTTAGGGGTTCATAGAGTTCAGTCTCTGCAGGGAAGTAATTTTCCACATCTCTTTGGAGGCTTGAGGAGCCTCTGCTGATGGATATGGTGGCTCAGTCTGCAGGCAGGCAGAACTGGAGGAGATTGCCATGTGCTTGGGGTGGAAAGTGGTGGGGCTTGTGATTGTCCTGTTCTGAAGGGATCATCCTCCTAGGCTGGCCTTTGGGGACACTGGAGGCTCTTGTTCTCCAGCTCATGTTAGCTCCTGCTGATGTTTACCTGATCGGGTGGTCTTATGGGCTGTATTAGTGACCAGTTTTTCAGGTCACGTTTCACAAGATATGTGAAATTTTCCCATGGATGAATTATAAATTCATCTGTTTCTGGTTTGAGAGGTACAGGACTGCTGGAGATCATTTTCAGACCATCTGTATGTTATTGTTGTGAGTGACCACCATCAACATTCTGAGCTGGCATTAAAGCAGAACAGTCCAGAGTCTGTCTTCATCCTTCCACATGTGATTTCTGGCAACAGGGTTTTCCATTATAGCTGACCAAGCTATGCCTACCTAACTTACTCCTTTAGTAAACTGAACTATTGCTAGATCTAAATCTCTCTCTTCTTGGTGTGACATTATTTGCCTTGTGTACCCAACCCAACCTTCCCTGCTGTTCTGTGCCAGTGTTTGTAAGGCAGTGAAGAAATAGCTACTTCAGTAGCCAAGAAATCAGCAAATAAAACCGTAACATAAAATACATAAAATGAAATAAAAACAAAACAGAAAATAAAAAGAAATAAAAGGCATTAAAAAAGAAATAACCAAGACAATATTCTCAGCCAGTTTTGAAAGGAGTATTTGTTGATTTAATGTTTTGCCTTCTCGAAGAAAAATCATGCTTAGAGCTTGTGCTTAGACTCTTCATCCTTTCCTTGTCGTGTTCCTTTCCCTTGTCCCTTTAAAGCAGCATGCTTCAAAGCTCCTCATGTCCCTGTTTAACTTGGCTCTTTCTTTTCACAGAGAGAAGAAGATTTCTCGCAGCAGTGCCCTGAAGGTGTTGGACCATGCCATGATCGGACCCGAGGGCACAGACAACTGTCACAAGTTTGTGGACATCCTTGGGCTGAGAACCATCTTCCCTCTCTTCATGAAATCACCCAAAAAGATAAAGAAAGTTGGAACAACTGAAAAAGAACACGAAGGTAGGTGTGCTCCCAGATCCTTCTTATCACCTTGGGGGAGGTGAATGGACAGCCAGTGTCTGAGCAGTACCTGCAGCGAGGAGGGAGAGGCACAGCACCCAACTCAGGGCTCCTCCTGCAGCTTTTGGGTCTGGGTGTTCAGCTTGCTGCTCCCTGTCACAGCTGGCTGTTGAGGGCACACTTGTCCTGCTTGTTTTGGTATCAGCAGCTCCTGGCGATTCCATTTTGTGTGCTGTTAATAAGTTATTTTACTCCTGTAGGCTCTGTTGTTTGAAGCTCTCACTCTGATGCAAAACTCTTTTGAAAAGAGTAATGAGGCAACTACAAATGTCACCTCAAAAGCAGTGTTTTCATGGCTCTGAGCACTGAAGTGTGACTGGATGAACATCAGGCATTGCAGAAATAAACTGCATTGCTTTTGAAGTTACTTTTTTTCCTTTTTGTATTTTCTTCCTCTTTCCCCTGGAAAAACTCTGCTTTGACAGAAATCTGCTGTGGTGTGTTACTGCAATTACTGAGGGACCTAACACTGAGCTGAGTCTGGGGTCAGTCCCTCATGCTCCTGGTAACGTTGCCTTTCCCATTTTGTTGGTCATTGACAACGTCTTGGAAGAAACTTTAAATGCTGCCAGTGATGCTTGAGATTTTGTGCCACTTTATGGCTCAGTTCTGTAGAGGGTGAATATTGTCAAAAGCTGAAGAGGTGTGAGTGGGTCTCTGGCTGCACTAGTATCCATCCTGAACTGCAGCAAACCAAGGGAAAATGGAAGGAAACAGCAACAAAATGGGAGCTCTAAACCCAAATTACCTGCTTTGGGCCTGTCCTCATGACTCAGGCGGGACTCAGGTGTTGTCTCAAGCTCAGGAGGGAGGCACTGCCCCCGCAGAACTCTTTGGGTGCTGGCTGAGGTGCCAGCTAGGACAGAACAGCTCCTTTCCTTGGAAGAGCTGCCAAGCCAGAGGCAGCTCCCTGGGCATCTGCTTGTCTTCCCTCCTGAGGACAAGGAATGGTCAGTGCTGGGCTGTGCACATGCATGGCAGTGGCTGCATTCCTGGCACAGGTGGAGAGCAGGGACTCACCTGTCATCCAGTGCCACCCCAAAGTGATTCACACCCTTGCTACCAGTTCTGGCCACTTTATCTTGTGTTTCTTGGGTAGATAATAGTGAGGAGGAAATGCTATTGTGTAGTATGGGGTTTATATAATGGAATTGCAGAGACAGGTTTGGTTTCTGTAGGTTATGTAATAAAATTGCAGGTTTATGTAATAAAATATGCAGTTGTGCTTAGATGGATTTAGGGGATGTTTTGAAATTTTCATTTGCAGTATGAAAGTGAGGTTGTTTAATTCTTCTTACTGAGGGAGCGCTTCAGTTAGAATAGGAGGTTCTGTTTAGAGATCTGGGTCTGTGGCTCATGCCATTGACTTAATTTTTCCGTTTGGGAAAGTGAGTTAATCTCTGCAGATGATACCTCTGTGCAGTCCTGGCTATGTGAGGATTAGTCTGGAAAGCCCTGACAGGGTCAGTTCCTCACTATTCCTGTGATAGGGTGAAAAGCCAATCTGGCCTCAGGAAAATGGAGTGATATATGCAAACAGTCTTTGTATCACACCTCCATCTCATTAACATGCAGAAGAAATGGAGAACATTAAAATGAGCCCAGAAATCAGTTCTATTAAAATAAACTCTCCCTAAAAGGCTGTGGTAGTAAGTCCAATTTTCTTTGTTTTGCATCACTGGGCAGGTGAGTTACTGAATTTCTAAGGACGGGAGTTAATAGAGATGTTTAACAGGGTTCCCTGGAGCCTGTCACACCATTGTCCTGGCCTGGGTGTTAGCAGCACAGTGTATGATTTCATTTTGCTGAGTGTTGCCCCAGCCTTGCAGTAATTGCTGAGCTTGGGGCTCTGTGGGTTCTAGTCTGGGCAGGAGCACAGAACAGGTTCCTGAGTTTCTCTGGCTTTCAGGGAAATGGTGCAGGTCTGGAATGATGGAGCCAGTGCCCTCTGTGCTGTTCTGGTCCGAGGAGCACACTGCTTTCTGCTTATCTCATTGTTTATTGATTGGAAAGAACACTCATGTTCACTTTGCTCTTGTCATCTTTTCTCATAAAAACTTTATCCTGTGTTCAATTTGTTTTACCAAAATTAATTAGAACGATCGTCCTTTCAGAGAGTGTTCATGTGTATGCCAAGTGGAGGAACAGATTCCTTTAAAGGGCTCAGTGGAGTGGGTTTGCAGCAGTGGCATCAGGGTGTATTAAAAGCAGCTCTGTGGAGCTGTGCTGTGCCAGCCCTTGGTGCATTGCCACTGGGGCAGTGTCAGGACTGACACCCTGAGCTGTGCTGCAAAATACAACATCCTCCTGGGCTCTGTACCCTGGGGCCTAATTACAGCAGCTTAAAGGACAGCTCTGCTAAAATGCTCCTGCACTGGGTGAGGTACCAAACAGCTCTCCCACAGAGTTAGTCCACTGAGTCCCTGCCTATCCCACTGTCCCTTTATCTGCAGTAATCCAAGTGCTGCCAGGCTGAGGGTACCAGGACCTACTGGATCTCTCCAGGTGCTTCATCCCTCACAGGGCACTGTCTCTAGAGCACCAGATATTCCCTGTGTGTCTGATGGTGGTAGAAAAATATCCCCTTGTCTTTATTTTCTCGCAGCATTGCTATTTACATAAGAGATAGTCTATAAAACCTTGTTTGTTTTATTGTCTCAAAGGTGGTGTTCTGAATGTGACAAAATAATAAAAACCCTGGTGAAAAAAAAATCTCAATGTGACTTGCTGAGCTTTTATTTATTAGAGAAATTTATAATCCAAATTAAATTTGATAAAAGTAACTTCTCTGTAATGTATTTCTCTCTTTTTAAATGCTAGCATAAAGGTGTCAGTGCTGGTTAGCCACATTTTAAACACTGTCAGTGCTTAAAAATGATTTTACTCTTGGGAGCCGGCGAACAATTTAAATCCAAACTGCACGTATTTATGCTTTATGTACACTATGTAATTAGGAAAAAAGAAAGGGAAAATTTCTTAACCATCTTTATGGATGATCTGAGCCTGAAGATTAGACCTGTGGTGTCTAACTGAGTACACATTATCTACACTTGAATTTTGCCTGCGTTTGTACAGATCGTTATATTAGGATATTAGGTTCGGGAGGAAAAAACTCATTTGAAGCAATTTCCCTTTTTCTGAAGCAGTGAAGCAGCTCAAAACAGAAATATTTTGCAGCTGAAGACAGAAATGGCTTAGAGTTTTCCTGTGTCTGTGGGGTCGCAATACTTGTGGCTTGGCCAGCCACAAAGACCAGGTGCTGTGTCATGGATGTGTGTTGTGAGGTGGTTGAACAGTGTTAGCAGAGTCCCCTTAGTGGCTCTATGTGGTTCTTGGCATAAATGTAGGGTAAGATTTGAAGCAATACTCCTGTGTCGTGAATTTTGAAAGGTGGGGGATGCTGTTCCCCAAACCCTCCTTTTGCAGAGCTCTCAGTGTGTCGTCCCTGTCCATGAGGGTGCAGCAGCTCTCAGCACACAGCTGAGCTGCAGCACTGGATGCTGACTTGAAATTCTTGAACAGTCTCAGTGAGCTAAAAATGGAGAAAACACAAATTCCTCCTGAATTAGAGAGTCTGTAGTGAAGCAATCATAGCTGGCTCGACAGGCTGTATATCCTCCTGCTCTTTCTCAGGATGGTTATTTGCAGCCGAGTTTTGCTCACTTGGAGAGTCTAATGAACTATAAAAGGATGTTTGTCCAATTCATCTTCATTTAAATGCCTTCTCTTGTCTTGGGTGTCAGTTTTACTTAGGAATGCTTAATTTGATAACCTGAGAATTAGTTCAGCCAATTTCCAAAGGAGAATTCCTATCGCTGGGGTGTTTTGCCTGTTTGCCCTCTATCAATAACAAAGGCTCTTTTGGAGACCCTCAGCTATACCCTTCCTTTAAAAACAACAACAACAACAAAACCCATTGCTTAGTAAATGTGCTCTTGCTTCTTTGTGACATGCATGAAAGGCAGCAGAGCCCTTGGAGTGAATCTCTGCTGCAGACCCAGGTTCCCTGGGCACAGGGAAGGGAGAAGCCAGAAGCAGAAACGTGGCCTGATGAAGAGTTATCGGTATTAACTGAGCACCCTCTGCCAGCCAGCAAAAAACGTTTTTCATTTGGTGGTCTTCATGAGTGAGCACCCGGGGAAGGCATCAGTCTGTTTAAACAGAACTTTATTATGTCAATTTGTTATTTCACCATCACCCTCCGACAGGAACCTGTGATTTGAGTGAGCCATGATGCCGAGAACACAGTTAAATTTATCTCAATTAAAGTGAGCGTGCTCTGTTGCAAGAACATCACAAAAATAAACTTTCTCGGTTGATAGAAAGAATTTTGTTTTATGTTCAGTGTGATGGCTGAATCCAGCTCACTGGGGCTGTTGTGTGAGGAGCTTTTCCAACCCATCTGGGCCCCGCCATTCACCCATCAGTGAAATCAGCGTCTCTTGCTTTTGTCAGTGTTTTATGATAACATTTTTCTTGGCAAAACACAGTGATACTTGAGTGGGTTACTCTTTTAAGATGCAGATTATTAATGTGTGTGAAAACAGGCAAGTTTATCAGATGCTACACTGTTGGGATGGTATGTCCTGGTGCCACCTGTAATCCTGCTGTGAAACGAGCCAGGGCCTTCATTCAGGTTTATCAGATGCTACACCATTGGGATAGCATATCCCCAGTTCTACTTGTAATCCTGTGATGAACTGAGCCAGGGGTTTCATCCAGGTTTATCAGATGCTATGCCAGTGGAATAGCATGTCCCTGGTGCCACCTGTAACCCTGCAATGAACCAAACCTCTGGTGGAGAGCCGTAACGGTCATTCTGCCGTGGCTTCACGAGCTTCACGCCTCTTCTGATGTGGGTTTTGGTGGGCTCAGTTGCATGCCTGGCCCCAGGGTGTTTTAGCAGTGTGGCCTTGGCACCAGAGTCCTTGGGGTGGGCCAGGGCCTTTGTCCAGGTTGTCCAGCAAACAGCCATGAAGCCGCAGAGTGGTGTGTATAGGAGAGGCAGAAGTATCTCGGAGTGCCTTGTGTTTTTTCTAGTATTTTCCTACTCCTAATTAGAAAGTACAATTTATCTTAAGAGCTCTCTGCAAGACAGAAGGCTCTTAAATGTGTTCTGGGTTCACCAGATCATCCTACTCAGTCTCTGAGGGACTGTGGTCCCCAGCACCCAGAGCTGCCCACCATCCCTTTCCTGCAGAACGATGGTTAGTAGCTCCTCTTCATCACTGTTGAGGTTCCTCCCCTGCCCGGCAGATGTCCATTATAATGAGATGTAAAAAAAAAAAAAAAAAAAAGGGGAGGGGGGATAATAAAGGCAGAGGAGTGTAATGTTACAGCTTGATTTGACAGGACCTCCTGCTGTTGCAGCTGCCAGTGCCAGCCATGGAATAGATTAATCTGTATTCCAACACGCCGAGCTGAAGTCAAGATCGATCTAATTAGGGTGTTTTAAACACTGCTTGCATGCTGAAGTCTCTGTGCCTGTCTGGAGAGGGAAAGGCTCCTGAGAGCTCGAAGTGATCATGGACTAAGCAGGACCCTGGTGCAGCCAGGGAGCACATGCAGTATGACCTCCTAGAGCCAGGGACGTGGCTGACACGGTGCCCTGTGGTGCTGGGATCGTGGGGAGTGGCAGGATCTGCAGGTGAGCCATGGGGCAGCAGCAGTGCTATTGGCGGATGAGAGAGAAGCCTCTGTCTTCCCATATCCATGAAGTCATGGGATCTTGGGATGTTTGTATGAAAAAAGTTGTTCTTGATGCACAGTAGCTGCCAGCTGGTACCTGTTATTTCTGTGCAGGCACCTTCATGATGCTGAGTATGGCTTGGTTTGGTGTTGGCTTCTCCAAGGACATTTAGTCATTCTTAGAAGTGGGGCTTGGCAGCAATGTCTGCCTCTGGCCTTGTCTGTGTCCTACCTGAAGGTGATGCCTTTTGTGCAGGTGATGTGGACCTTGGCTGAGCATTACATGCTTATGGAGAAGCTCCCAGAACATTCTGTAGCAGGCAGGGTGCCCGTGGCTGTGCCCTGGGGCGATGGGCTGCTCCTGAGCTCTGTCTGCTCTGCAGTCAAAGCTGGGCAGCTGCAGGTTCTGGGGACTTGGAGCAGCACCAGCTACTCATCATTTCCCAAAGGACATCCAGCCCTGAGTAAATATTGTGATTAGGGCTTTTATAATGTTGCACATGTGAGATGGAGATCGGGACAGTTTGTGGGAACATGGTGAGACCCCTGTCCATGGGAACCTGCACCCCTAGGCTGGTGTCCCTCACTTCCAAAAGATTGTGCAAATGTTTTAATCCACCAATCATGGATTCAGCCACTCATCCCATCAAGGTTTGCCCCAATTTTGGCCGTGTCCTTGCACATGGATGTTGGTATTCATTGGGCTAGCACCTGCATTACAACAAAAACTTGATTTTAGGAGGGCATGAAACACACTGGTGTATTTTTTTCAGGAAGCTGATTAAAAAGAAGGTTTAGCTAGTTCAGAAATGTTTCTGTAAAAAAATTCTTTGAACGTTTCTGCCAAGCAACTAAATATTTCCTGGATTTTCTGCAGTGGTATGTTGAAAGAATAACCTTGTTCTCAAAACCCCTGTGTCAGCTCCTTTAGACTTGTCAGTAGTTTAAAAGATTTTATTGATAAAATGGATAAATATCTGCATATGACCACCAAAGCAGAAATGATGGCTAAAGTGCATTTCCTACTGAAGGGATATTGGAAAAAAAGCAATGAAGATAGATCATTGGTGAGAATATTGCCACTAAAGTGCTGTGTCAACACTTCCAAAAAAAGAAGGTGGGGTTAAAAATAGTATGAAATACAGAATGCTGCCGTCTTCCTAAACCAGCAGAGCGTATGTTGGGATATATAGAAAAAAACAAGTCTTCATTTCCTTGTATTTCTTTCACCTTAAGAAAACAGCATCTTGCAAGGACTTGGAGGCTTTTACAATACTTTTTAATGTCAGCACTTAATTTGGTGTTGCTTTTTGTGGAATAACAGTTTCTGTGCAGCGAGAGCATGCACTGACACCCCTGGAGCCATCCTTCACCCCGTTAGCCTGTCGGAATGACGGAGCAGCCACACGGTGCGGCCACCCGATAAACCTGTTATCTGCCTGCTCCTCCTGCCGGCAGCGCTCCCAATCTCCTTGGAACATGAAAAATTGACACCACCTCAGGCAGAAATCTGTTTCGAAAAGGAAGCTCCATTTATAAGTAGCTAATGAAATGGGGGGTGTGCGTGCGCCTGTGCAGCCTCTCCTGTTGCTGCCCTTGTGCAGGATGCAGATAATCCGTGCTGCAGGGAGCGCAGACATCCTGGCCAGGCAGCTGCATGCCTTCACCTTCCAGGGCCCTGGCTGTGGGAGCAGGAGCTCCTGGCAAACACGGCACTGCCACTGGTTCTTTGTGTGCTGGAGCAATCGATCAAGGCTGCTCATGGCCCTGGGCTGGGCAGAGCTGGGGAAGTGTGTTTAAATGGTGTATGGCAGTGAGATGGTGATCCCTCTCCTCTGCACACTGTGTTTCTCTCTCTGAAAGTAACAAATCTTGAGGCCCCTTTGCTCCCCACCACGAAGGGTGAGGAAGGGTTTATGGCTGTTAATTTTCATCAGTCTTTGAGAAGTTGGGTTATCTAAAACACCAGGTCTGTGCTTAATGCAGACCTGCAGGCAGGACGCAGTGCCAAATGGTTTGGGAAGGGAGAGAAACTTAGGCTGCTCTCCTGTGCTTTGCACTGTTGTGCTTGGGTTCCAGGCACGTGGCTCAGTCACCTCTCAGTGACACTGTGGTTGGACATTGACACAGATGTCTCCTGGGTGCTTGCAGTGTTGACTTTTTACTTGGCTCCAGGGTTTGTGCTGTAAAATATGACCCCAAAGTGCAATCGAGAAGACTGTAAACACGTTTATTTGGTTGTTTCTGGTTTGTTGTGGCCCATTCATATTCATTGATGGGATTTTCTGTAAATGAAAGGGGTTGGTCTGAGGATATTTCCTCTGGCTTGTACCAGTTCAATCTCTGTGTGAGCTGCGTACTGGCACAGGTATTCCTTTCTCCAGCTCTATTGTTTCAGTAAATGTCCTTGCTTTGGTATCCTGAGGGTCATTTGGGTGACAGTGCCAGCTTCAGCCAGGGCTCCTTTAGGCCTAAAGGAGGAGGCAGAATGTGGTGTCTTTGGGCTGTGGTGAAGAGTCCCAAAGCACGTGTGCTGCTGGGCAGGCACGGAGCCTGGGGAGGAAACCAGAGTGGAACTTGTCCTCTATGTAATGCACTTTCTCAGGTCCCTGAGGCAAAGGAGAAGGAGCTCTCACTGGCTGGGATGGGTTGGGGCAGGTGAGGAGCTATCTGTGCTTCCAGCAGACATGGCTTGTGGCTCTCACCGCTGCTCTGTCTCATCTCACCGTGATGGGAAGGAACCAGGGTTCTGCTTATCAACAGTTATACACCTGAGTCCTAGTAGTAAATTTAATGGCATGTTACAGAGGAAAATAAGCTTTTGTTCCTGATCTCAGCATGCAATTTTCATTTTGTGTCTCTAGAACATGTCTGTTCCATCTTGGCCTCCCTCCTGCGAAACCTGAGAGGGCAGCAGAGGACACGGTTACTGAATAAATTCACAGAGAATGACAGTGAGAAGGTGAGTGCTGAATATGTGTCTCGATTTCTGGGCTGCGGGGTGGGAAAATACTTTCTCAGGGCAGAGTGCCTGTGTGCACTCGCTAAGTTATGAAAAACCATCATCATACCTGCCTGCAGAGACTTGTGCTGTCACAGACAACCATTGCCTCTTTTGTGTTATATCTACAAACTGGAGAACTCGAATATTTTTAGTGCTTGGCCTCCCACATTACCTGTGCTCTTGTTGTCGGGTCCTCCTGCACATGGTAGTAGTGATTCTCTGTCCTTTGTTGTGCCTCTGCTGAAGCCTGACCACAGAGCACATTATGTGGCATTGCATTGTGCTGGCTCTGAGACTAAGGCAGCGTGGAAAGGTGCCAGTGTGTCTGGTGAAGCTCTTTTGCAGAGAGCTTAGGAATGGCTGTGGTACACATTTAACATTCCCCACTCCTCTCCTAGAATGTCTCACTTCAGCGGTGTTTGCTCTGGGAAATTCTTTCCAAAATATTTACATGGTGGTAGATAGATCAAAGAGCTGTGGAACAGAAACAGCAACTTTTGCAAACCAGGAATCCCAAGGGATTTGTAAATCCTGCCACTGGGAAAATACTGCTTCCTTAGCATTCCTCATTAGTGTGTTTTAAAGGTGTTTTTCATAACCTGTTCTGCCATTTGCAGAAAATTACTAGATAGAATTTCAGTTGCCTAACACAGTTCAGAGAAGAGCAGGAGAGCTGGCGCATCCAGCGCAGACAGAGAGGTCCACTGGGGAAAGCAGGAGCCTGGAGAACCACAGCACAGAGAGAAAGAGCTGGGGACACGTGTCTGTTCACCGATGTTTATCTGGTGCTGATGGGACTGTGGTCCTATACAGGGTTACATCCAAACACCTGCAGCCTCAGTGTGGCCAGCACTTGTACCCTCCTTCTGCAATGTGTTGCTTCCCAGGAGGGACAGAGTTGCCTGTGGCTTTGTGAAGGGTGAAGCTGGGAGGAAAACAAAATCCCACAAAGGATTAAAGATGATTACACTGTACCTTTTTCTTTCTTATGTCTGCCTCTTCTGTCCTTGCAGGTTGATAGGCTGATGGAACTGTATTTTAAGTACCTGGATGCAATGCAGGCAGCTGATAAGAAGATTGATGGCGAGAAACACGTAGGTATTGCTTAAGTTTCACCAGGTCATGTGTGTAACACCTCTGCACAGGACTTCTGACTCAGCCAGGTCACTCTTCTCAGCTGTGCCCTCATACCTGTGCTGTTACCTGTTAATTGCTATTGCCTCACTCCAACTTATAGGTTCTCAGATAAAATGGGCTGAGAGCTCTACAGCAAGGGCTTCTGGCCTTTGCTTAGAGTGAATTTTACTAGAAAGGCCTAAGTCTGTGCTTCAATTTGCCTTCACTTTTACCTGCCTGCAGTCTTGCTTGGTTTGGCAGACGGAGAGTAGGTGAAATGCAGAGAGACAATTACCTGATAATGTGCAAGGCCTCCTACCCTGGTCTGTGGAGTTCTGATCAGCAGCGAGAAAGCGTTTGTGTTGATGAGTTGGCTGAGGTGCAGCCAAGGGCTGTGTGCTCTCTGCACACCAGCAGCGAATGTTTGAGTGACACAAGCCTTGGTACCGCGCAGCACTTTCTTGGATCTGAAGCTGGAACAGACCTTTTGAAAAAGAGCGAGTGGCTGGAGTCAGGAAGCAGCTTGCAGAGCTGTTAGCGAGCTTGGCCAGCTTCCCACAAGATTATCTGTATCAGCACTGAGGAGGGTGTGAGATTGATTAGCGCTGACGGAGAGCAATGGCTGCAGCTGCCATCCCGCACGCCGCACGCTCGTGTGCCATGGGCAGCTGCCCCCCACCAGGCCCTGACAAACAGCTGCCTGCCCGCTGCCAAGGCAGCTTCTCCGGGCACTGCCAAACATTCCGAGGGCATCGGAGCGCTGCTGCTGCTCAAAGAGGCACGGGAGTGAGTGATGAATGGGGCTGCTTTTGCTGCCAGTGCTCAGGCTCCATATGGCTCCAGCGAGTGGTGGCCTGGAGAAAAACAGTTTACCCTTTCCCACTCTTCCTCCATGCTCTGTCCATCGTCCTCAGAGCAGGGCAAGAAATTATTTCTTGTTTACGTTTCGGTGTTGGTGTGAGGGCTTTAGAACTCAAAAACCAGGATGGATTTTCCTCGCCGAAGCCTTGTGGTGTGTTGGAGCTGCTGTGCAGAGCCCTAAAATGCCTCATGCAGAATAAGGGTATGTGCCCTTTATCCAGGAACACCCTGGAGCAGCTTGCAAACATTAACATCTGTAGCAAACAGCCAGAACAAAGCAGGGGTGGAGGAATTTGAGTGTGAAGAAGCTTGTGTGGAAGCTCTTTAATTAATAATATTAACTCATTTGTGTTACTGATGCACTGAAACTGAGGAACCTCAGGTTTTCCTCCTGTATCCAGAATAAATGGGTCTCAATTCTTCACCTCCTATTATAATTAATAATAGAATTTGGCAGAAACATCTCATGAGTGCAATAGATTGGGCATGACGTGTATGAAATATGACAGTGAGGTTCATTACTAGCTTGGAACACTCTTGGAATTATCATTTGCTTTATTTTGTATTGACCATCTGTATCCTTAGGTGGTCAGTGGGACAATCTTCTGAGACCTGAAGTGGCTAAAGTGTTTTCCCTGTGCAGAAGCAGGGAAAAGCCATCATTCTGTCTGTCACATCATGGCAGTGTCTGGCTGTAATGGGATTTATGGAGCACTTTAATGTTCCTAGTTGTGGCACATGAATCACTGAGGTGAATGGTATGAACGCTTTAGAAACTGTTCTCTGGCACTTGGGGGCTTTTGACCTTCCCCTTGCAGTAGAGGACATAGTACCCCAAAAATCTGGAATACAGATCCTCACCTTTCTCCCTGCCCCACAGAAAAGTGTCACCTGGTGAGATTTTACAGGTTCAGCCTATCCCAATGAGAGTGAGATCTGAGTCTGATGGACAGAGTATCCTGGTGTAAGTCTTGCATTACAAGGAGTGCAAAGCTGATTACACAAGGAATGACTGAGTGCTTTATCTTTAGTAGTGCAGCTGGCATAAGAAGCTCCTGCTCTTGCAGCACTCCTTCTTTTTCTTTCTTTTAGCTTGGCTCGTTTTAATGGTCTGGTTCATAGTCCTGCTCTTCCACCCATGGCAGGGATGGTGGGGGAATAGTTGAGGGTGGAAGAGAGGGGAGGAATTTCTGAAGCCAACTGTTTTGAGGAGGAATAGTTGTAATAAAACTGCACCCTTAATCTGGACAGTGAAACAGGATGAGGTCACTGAGCCCTTTCTCAGTGTTACCCCCTTGTTTGTTTTGGTGAAATCTGTTCAGAAGGGATCAGAGGTGATAACTTGGTAATTATCCTAATTGCTGTGTGAAACCCAGGAGCACAGTCCATGAGAACATTGTCTCCAGCACCTGACACCTGCCTTAGCACTTTTCTCAGAGTTTTTAGGTAATGAAAGTATCTTGTTCTCCTCTCAAGTTATTTAATTATTTCTGTAGGAAATGGTGCAAAATCCTGTGGCTCTTGCCCCCCTCTAAAATAAGGTATAATTATGCGTGGCAGTGATAGCTTTGACGATCTCTTAAGATGGTAGGAAAAGACAGGAGATGGTTTAATATTTTTATAGTTCCACAGAAAATTATGCTCAGCAGGTTTATTCGATAAAATATTCTCACCAGACACTTTGCGCTATAATGACTTACAAATTACATGCTAATTGTGCTACAGTTCAGCCACTCCATCCTTAAAAGGGAGAGGTGGAACTCCTAGGATGAGTGTGGTGTCCACAGCTGGGGATAACAGGTTGGGATTTGTGTCAGCCTTTCCTCTCAGTTTGGTGTAGAAAGACTGAATTGCCTGGAGCTGTGCCGAGGGCAGGACAGTTCATCCTGGTGGGGGTTGAGTGTGCAAGGGAGAGGAACATCCTGGTGTAATGGAGCATGGCTGGGTTTGAACTGTCAGTGCTCCAGACTTTCCCAGCACATGGCCAGTGAGCCCAGGTAAGCCTTGGATATTCTTGCTGAGACTGATGTGTGTTTTTAGCCAACTGCCCTGACCTGGGTTCTGTTTCTTGCTGGTGAAGCTTGAGCTTGGAACAAGAGCTGCTGCTCTGTTTTCTGCTCTATAGGAGTCACAATGAGCTTTGCAGCTCTTGTAGACTGGAGGCTCAATTTACAGAAATTCAAGCATGATTCTGCATGTAAGGCAGAAATTAAAGTCCTTTCCATATCAGAGGGCTCTGATGGTTTCTTGTGTGGTTCTGAAAGCCTCTTGGCCACCTTGATGTGACCTGGAATCTGTAAGCTCTCCTGGCTGCAGCAGAGCCCATGCTCAACCAGGGTCATTCAATGTCAATGTCAAAGGGACTGCGTCATCTGCAGCCTCTTTGAGTGAAAAAGGTTTCTGAGGACATCACTGTCACAGCAGTGAGTTTGAGAGCAGGTGGTTCTGGACAGTCCTTGTTACCTGTTACCTTCACCCAAGACTTCTGCTTGCTCCTCTCCCATGCCAGCATCAATCTCTGTCTCCTGCTTATCCTTGTTGACCCAGGGCTTAGCAATGGCCATGAGTGTGGCTCAGCCTGTGGTCTGAAGGCACCTCCTGAGCATGTCTCGCATCCCTTGGCACTCCCCAGTGATACAGACAGAAAATTGTAAGGGGAGAGACTCAGTACTTGGAGTAAGAGACATGTTACAGTAGTTGTTTTGGTGCACAGCCATTTGTAGCCTTCCCATCTCTATTCACCTGGACTTGGCCTCACTGTTCCACCCAGTGAGAACATAAAACCAGGATCCTGAAGGTGATTGCTTTGGATCAGTGCTCATTCCTTCTGCCTCTGCCCAGCTGTCCTGTATGTGCTGGATGGTGAGTGATAGGTGAGGAAGGATGGGGAGAATCTATTCCAGTGCCTCTGTGGAGCAGGTGTGATCTTTGATACAGCACTGGCAGATCCATCGTGTCTTTAGGTTTGGGGTTTCTACTTGACACCTCGAGGCCTGTCAGTCCTGCCTCATTAGTGTGAGAGAAGCTCATTTTAGCTTCACAGAAGCCCATCTTATTGCTGTCTTCTCCCATCAGCAAGGGGCACCTCAGTACATATTGCTGGCAGATTAGAAATGGCACCTGAGCGCTCATTTGGAGGTTAGCAAGTGACAGCTTTGAACGAGAGACCAAGTGGGAAGGAGGCTGTTTGGTACTGTACTGGAGGCAGATTAGCATTGATAGATAGGGTGGCTGTGGCTTTAGGGGTGAAAAAAAAAAAAGCTGTGAAAAGGCACCTTAAAACTGTACCTGCCTTCTAATTCATATCTGCTTAATTTACTGGCACAAAATAATCTTCTCTGCCAAGAGGGGCTGTTAGAGCTGCCACTGCTGTGCAATCAGGACCACAGCTGCCTGGATCCAGCTCCTGTGATCGCTGTGCTCAGATCAGAATACAGAGCAGACCCAGCCTTTGTCTCCTGCTCTGGAGATTCAGAGTCCTGGCCTGTGGATGTTTTTCTGCTCAGGAATTTAGCACCGTTGAGCAGAGCAGCCAATGAGCCTGTGTACCGTGTGGAGGCTGAGTGGTGGTTCAGGAGTGAGTGTCTTGTCTTTCTTGAATGGGTTTTTTTGATAATTCAGTCAGTATTCTGCTCTGTCACTAGCCAGACTCATCATTGCTTAGCTTTAGAGACCAGATTTAATCAGATTCCTGCCATTTGGCATGGATGCAGGGTGAGGGAAGTCACTCCTTGCACAAAATTGGATTTTTCTATTTACTGGCAAGAGCTCACATCCAGGCTTTGCCCAGTCATGCCTATGCCCACGATTTTGAGAACCTGGAGTAAATGACAGTTGTGCACACACTGGAGTCTACAGGATCTGATGCTGAAGCATCACATCTGAGCGTAGCCAAAGCAGTCGACTTCACAGTATGGATAACTTTGCATTTCCTTTTAAATCTGACTTTCTTTACTGGCAGACTAGATTCCAGGAGGAAAGGAAAATTATTTCATTACCTGAGCTCTCCTCTTCCTTTCAGGAGGCAGTGGGAACTGACTGTCCTTCTAAGTCACTCTGATGGTTTTCTGTCCAGGAAGCATCCATTGCACCCCTCCAGGGAGAGGTGCACAGGGCTCTTTTCCTTCTTGTGCCTAAAAATCTCGACCTACCATTAGATGCAAAGGCTTGGCTTGACAAAACAGGGAAATCTGGCAGCCTCAGTCAGGTTTGGTGCTGCTGACCTTGTGTGTGTGTGTGCCTGGAGCACGTGCGTCCCGAGGAAGCGCGTCCTGTGGAGCGTTGCAGGTACGGAGCGCTCGCAGGTGATGGCTCTAATGAGGAAATATTGCTCCTCCGGCGTGTGCCCACCTGCCAGACGGCTGTGGAATAAATCACAGAGCTGCAGCGAGCTCACAGGGCCTGACAAGCTGCTTCCTTTGTTTAAGAACGAAACCAGAAAACAAACCCCAGCACGCAGAAGGTCACATGTGACGCAGTTGTTTGGGCCCTCCATGAGGATGGAGGGCAGGCACGGCCCCAGGGCAGGGCCAGCCCAGCGCAGGGGAGGCTTGGGTGGCTCTTCCCTGTGTTTTGAAGAAAAAGCTCTGTCTAGACATGAGGAATGGAATGGAACAGAGGAGTGGAATGGCCTCTTGTGTCCTCCCTCCTGGCAGGGTTCACTGGTGAAACCCATGTGTGCAGGGGATGGATGATGGGTCAGCATTCCCATGGGAGCCAGTGCTCATCTGCTTACAGACCCTGACCTGGGTCCATCCTGGCAGTACCCCTCACAAACACAGCTGGAAGAGCCCAGCTGGGCCTGGGAAAGCTGCCCTTGTGTGGAATGTTCAGTCAGTAATAAAGCTGGAAACCTGATGGGTCTTTGAGTCTGCCGGAGTCATGTTCTGCACTGCCGAACAGCACCCTCAGATGGCCAGTAAAGAGCAGGTTTTGTTCCATTCTGACAAAGAGCTTGTAAATCACGGATACATGAGTTTGTTCCATAGTCACACTCTCTCACAGCTCAGCGTAGAAATATAATCTGTCTGTTTAAATTAGAATTTTAACTTGCAGATGGACACACTTAGCAATCAGCAAAGGCAAAACCTTCAAAACTGACTGAAATGTTTTGTGAATTTAAATGAGTTATGAGAAGTACCTCTTTGGTGAGAAATATATAGCTGTTAATGCTTTGGGGAACAAAACGTTTCTTAAGAAACCACAAACATTACCAGCATTTTGCCACTCTTATGGGAAGTGCTCTGAGATGGTTCTCACACCTTTCTTATGTGTGGCTTTACAGGACATGGTGCGTCGGGGAGAGATCATAGATGATGACATGGAAGATGAATTCTATCTCCGTCGCCTGGATGCTGGGCTCTTTGTGCTGCAGCTCATCTGTTACATCATGGCAGAGATCTGTAATGCCAATGTTCCCCAGGTAAAGATGTCTACAGTGTTAGCAGATTCTCTGTTTCCATCCATGATGCAAACAAGACTCTTAATCCTTGCAGATGCTGCTGTGTTGAGTAATTGTCTCTCTAATTCACTTGTGAGGAAACCTCCTGCTTATTGCACTGTGTTCATACAGCTCCATCAAGTTGCAGCAGTTAGAAGGGTGTTAGTGAGGACAGAAGCTGATCATGGTCACTCAGTTCATACAGAACTTTCCAGGGTTTGAAATGGAAAGATCTTGGAGCAGTGGAAGGGGACCTGTTCTCAGGAGGTGTCACAAAGGCACAGCTACAGCTGGTGACTTTTTTTGATCTGTGCGCAATGCTGCATCTCTTTGTTGGTGTCAGTACACAGGGTTTGTGAATACCTTCTGTGGTTACTTGTACCTGTGCCACATGCCTTCTGGGTCTTCCTGAGTAGGTGCTCCAGGACTGAGGACTAGTAGGGCTGAGTTGGGTTTTGTGGTGCTCAGGTCTCTGCTTGTCCCTCAAAGTGGGAAAAAGTGGGACTGTGCATGGATTTGTATTGCACTGAAGATGACTTTCTTCTCTTTCCTACTCCCCCTCAGATTCGTCAGAGAGTCCACCAGATCCTGAACATGAGAGGCAGCTCCATTAAAATAGTTCGACACATCCTGAAGGGTGAGTTGAGATATCCCTGTGCAAGTGTCTCATTGCTGCCAGGGACAGCTTGGTCATCGCTGTGTAGGATGAGCCTTCACATGTAATTCTCCTTGGCTTCATGAGCCTCTCCAGGCAGCAGCTGAGCAGTGTTCCAAGGACCTGGCAGGCCTGGAATCACCCTGATTAGTGGCATGCTTTGCTCTGCCTCTGAGTTAGGACACTTGCTGTAGCTGCTGTCAGGGAATGGCACATCACTTCATGCTTCCATCAGCTCCAGCCTGGCTGGAACTCACTGCTGACATTAACGTGAGAGCAAATATTTAAGGGAAGTGTACATGCATGCTAGAGAGAAGAATAGTGGAGTCTCATCTTTCATTAACACGGCCCTGCACTTTACCATCTGCACCATATTAGTACCCGTGGTGTATTTGTCTTGTTCTTAGTGTCAGATTAATATGGATTATAGCATTAAAGTATCCTCTGTAGCTTTAAAATGTAGCTGTTGTGATTTGCAATCCCAGTTTTAAAGTACTGCTTGTTATTTTTAATGCTTCTGTTGAATTAGAGCAATGCCTATTTGAGTCTGGCCCTTCTCTGCAGCCTGCTGTCCTTCAGCAGCTGCAGCCAGCGGAACTGGGGGAGAGGAGGGCAGGGCTCAGCTCTCCCCACGGCCCCTTGGAGCTGTAAGGCTTAGCAGGAGCAGCTGGAAAGCTGCTGCCCAGGGAAGGTGCTTCCTCATGGAGTGTGTCTGCTCCTGAGGGGCTGTGATGTTTTGAGTGAGGGTGAGGAGTCTGTTTCTTCTGGAGGGAAAGGAAGGTTGTCAGCATCTCTGTGGGATGTGTTATTTTGATGTCTCTGCTTTCTTTGGGAGCAACAGTGATATTCTCCTGGTGTTTTTTTTTCCCCACTTCAACACTGTCAGGTACAGGCAGCTCTTTTCTTGCAGAACCTGTCGGGTTTCTCCCTTCTCATATGCAGGAAAAAAGGGATCAGAAGGATGACCGGTGACGAAATTAAGAGTGATTTTCTGACAGTGTGAGATTACCTGCAGCTATAGGCAATCTCTTTGGCCCTTTTCCTTGGCCACCAAGTGCAAGTCAATGCCTGCTGATGAGCAGGAGAGCTGGATAGGATGTCTTTTCTGATTTTAATTATGATACTTGACAATTCCTGCCTCCAAACTGTCCATTTCCAATGTAGAGCATGGCACATGTCCACGTTCAGATTCCCACACTCGCCCTGGGCTGCTGGTGCCCGAGGGAGTTGTCTGCACACCTCGCTGGATTTGCACACCTCATGGTCACGGCTCTGGGTTGTTAATTTACATACCAAGCTGAATTGGAGGGCAGCTGCATTAAAATTTCATCTGATTCTTTCTTTCCCAGACAGTGACTTGCATTGTGAAACTTTCTCCGTGGTTGTATTGCATGTTGCAAGCTGAGGGTCATGCACAGGTTGGGTGCTCTCGGCAGCACTGCCTTCCCTGCCTGAAGGGGCACATGTGGCTTGTTAATAATACAGGGGATGGGGACAGAATTTGGGGCTTTGGCTGCAGCTCTCCCCACCTCTTATGCTTGCCAGTTATAGAGACTTTTTTTGTCACAATAGTCAAGACCTCAGCAATCAATTCCTTAGTGGGCCCTTGTGAAATCCTGCAGTGGGTGCAGCAGCTCCCAGCAGGCAGGAGCAGCACTGGGCTCAGCTGCACTTTGGGCTGTGAAATTCTAGTAGCTACACATCCATGGTCAGTGTGGATTCACCAGCTTTTAACAGCAGTGACACCACAGATATGCACCTGCCTCTCTGGAGGAGTCAGTTCCCTGAGCACAGCTTCCTGTTGGAACAAGGGTTTGGATGTGGACCCTGCAGCATGCTGGGGCCAGTGGGGCACTTCCAAAACTTCTCTGGAGTCAGAACTGCACGAGACTCTTAAGTGACTGAGAGATTGGGAGCTTGAGTCTTTAGCTGGAACATTTCCAGGCCACTTCTCAACTTGCTCTCAGGACAGATGAGGACTGGTTTATTTTTACTTTTCTTTCAGTGTTTTGCTCTTGTTCAGTTTTTATTTTCTATTTTTGCATACTAATTAGGTGCTCGGTTTTGAGTTTGATTTTTATGGCCTACATATTCTCCATGTTTCTCTGGCAACCTGACAGCTGATGGATCCCTTGGGGTGGCTCAGAATTACTTACGATGCAAGCAAGGAAGCAAGACTGTTTTCTTATGGTAGGGCTTTCAAGGAGGAGGAGTGGGCAGGGAATAACGGGAGGCTCATTAATGCATTTCTGCAGGCTGACCAGTCCTCCCACACTTCCTTTTGCTTGAAGATCAAGCATTTCTTGCAATGGGACACTTAGTTTATGCTTTGGAAGAGAATGACTGAATGGTGTGTGTCTTGCCTGGGGGATGTTTTGGGATGAAGGATGGATTCAGGATAGTGGATGGTGTTTGTGTCTTAGGGCAGTGCCTGGCCTCTATCTGATTGGGAACGGAGGGGTGAAATAGTGATACTCAGCCCTGGAATGGCAAAGCTCCCTGTTCCTCACGGATCCTCATGGATCAGCTGTTGGTCCCAGCTCCCTGGGGGAGCTCTGCAGGAGTGGTCCCTGGTGAGGTCCCTCCCCTGGTCACACACCTGGTGCCAGTGAAGCGAGCAGGCACACCCAGGAGCTGGGCAGGTGGAATGTCTGCTGCAGGTTCCAGCCCAAACCTCTTAGCACAGGTAAGCACAAAGGAAGGGTCAATGTGCTTTGAGGACAGAGCTCAGTCTGGCTCACGCTCCCTCCGTCTGTGCAGGCTTTGGAGCTTCCAATATCCATTACAAGCCTCAGTATTTCCCGATTGATTTTTACTGTTCTGTAACCATTGTATTTTGTCTAATGAAGCAGAAACCAATCTCAGGCCCTTTCCCTTTGTGTAGCTACAGCAGTGTGTAAGCTCTGGTTAACTGTTGGCAGGAGCAGCTTACATTTGATTTTTTTTTTTTACAGTCTCAGTGAAGTGTTGGAATTTTAAATAAAAAATTAAATACAGAAAATCTCGGTCGGAGATTTATTTTTTTAAGCCTGGTTCCAGGGGTTTTATGTGGTCTCTTCAAATGAGCATTAGCAGCTGTCGTAACCCAGTAAACAGTCTGCCTTGGAGTCACTGGGGCTTTAGTCTTACAACGCCTAAGCGTTTAGGAGGAGAAATGCTGAGCTTTTGGACAAGATTAAAGGAATTTGTGTCTTGCTTTTGTCTGGGTGATCTCACTGGGACAAAGGAAGGGCAGTGTCATTAGTGGCACTCAGCAGTTCTCTGCTCGAGCTGTGCTCTGAGCACTCTGGCTGTCCTTACAGCTGGGAGCAGAGCAGGCCCCAAGCCCACCACCTGCAGAGTGGGTGCTCCAAGGGCAGAGCTGCCTGGGGCCAGGCTGACCCAGGCTGTGCTGAGCTTGGAGACCACGGTCATCCCTCATGTGGGCATGGAGAGGCCACAGCAGGTGGGAACCATTGCCCTTGGACTATGGTAAGCACTGGCACTCACAGCTGCTGCTGCTGATCCAGAGGCTCTTATCCTGATGGAGCACAGAAAGGGCTTGTGGGGACAGAGCTGGCTCCTCTGCCTGCTCCCCGGGGCACACTGCTGACAGGCGGCTCTGGTACTGCCTGAGGGGACGTGAGAGCCTGAGCTAAGTGCTGGCTTGGGCTGGGAAGGGTATCCCATCCCTGTTGCACTGGGATCATCTCCTGCCTGGGGTTTGGATCCCCGATGGGCAGTGCAGCCCTCGGCCAAAGCACACACAGCACAGTGGGGCTGGGCCAGGCTACCCCACAGCAATCAGTCCATACAAAGAGCTACAAGGAATCCAGCCTTGTAGGAGCTTCCTGCTGCCTTTGTTAAGAGCAATAGAGAGCAGCTCCTCCCTCAGGGGAAGGTGCTCTGAGCTGATCCCTTTGCCAGGACCGCGGGCAGGTCAGGTTCACCTGCAGCAAACCTCAGCGTTCCCACCTGCTCTTGTTACAGGTACTGGATCAGATTATAAATATTAAAAAGATTTCTCCTAGAGGCCTGGCAAAGAGCTCTGCTTCTTGTACACAGGGAGAGAGAGAGTGCACACAGGAGGGAAGACTCCCACATCAGCTAACTTCTCTCTGCCCTCACTGCTTTCAGTGCTCTAATAACAAAGGCTTTGATGGAGCTCAGAGCATGTAGCAGTGCTAAACGTATAAATATTAAAGCAAACTTTCTACAGCAACTTACCATTCAGTGCTGAATACAAGCTGTTCTGTTTGTGTGGAAGAAGGGAAAGAATGCGAGCGGGCGGAGGCAGGGAAGTGCTGTCTAACCGGCAGCCTGCTCCTGATTTCCTCAGATTTGTTCAGCTCTTTGCTTCTGCAGCTCAAAACCTGCTTTTCATTTTCACTTTTTAAACCCTCTTTGAATATGCAGGTTCTGGTGGCAGGAAGGAGGGAGCTGGTATGGGATGAGAGCTGTCAGCTCCAAATGAATGTCAGGAAGAAGAGCTGCAGAGGGAATGTTTGGTTCTGTGGTGTTTAGCCGTGTGCATGGATGGGCACGACCTTGGTCAGGGTCTGGTGACCTCTGTCTGATGACAAAGAGTTTGGCTTGGAGATAAAACTGAACTGATGGGTTTTCTTCTGTGTGGGTTAAAAGCAATTGTAGATTGGGGAATTGGTGTCTCCTCAATGTCTTCTCAACAAAAATCCTCATTCAGGATGCTTGGACAACAGGCAGGTTAAACCCAGGACTTGGGAGTGTTTAATAGTTGTGTCACAGCCACTTCCCTGATGGCACTCAGTGTTCAAAGAGACCTGAGAACGGGTGATGTCCAGGACTGTTTGCATTTCTTGGGCATAATGCCATGATTCTTGTGCCAGGGAATGGGTGCTCCTGAGTGCTGGTGTCTGCCTGGGGAGAGAGCAGGACGTTCTCTGCGCCCTGTCTGCCACAAAAGTTTTCATGAGGGTCAATGGGTGTTTGTTATGCAAAGATTTAGCCCTGGGGATGGACAGGAAAACCATGCATGCTCCTTGCATTAATTCCCATTCGGCTGTTTGCAGTGGATGTGGATGTAGATTCCAGTGTGGTGTCTGCAGGAGGTGTTGTTCATTCCTGTCCCACTCAAAGCCTGTGTGTGTCTGCTCTCTCCCTGCAGAGTACGCAGAGAACATTGGCGATGGGAAGAACCAGGAGTTTCGGGAGAGCGAGCAGAAGCGGATCCTGGATCTGCTGGAGAATTTCTGAGGACCCAGAGACCAAACTCCATGTCTGCCCACAAGGACATGGCACCAGTTCTTCCTCCGTGTCTGCCTGCAAAGGCACAGCACCAGTTCTCCCTCCTTCCACTCCTCCTCCAGCCTCGATTGCAAGATGAAAGTGATGTTTCTATGAAACTGCTTCTAAATGGGATTTGGGATATATTAAAGACAGTTTGCTTTTTTTTTTTTAGCTCCTGGTTTGTTATTTAAGCAGTGTGCTGAGAGTGGGGCTGCAGCCACGTACCCCGCACAGGGCAGCACGAGGTTTCCCTTTTTTCTTTCTTTTTTCTCTCTTAAGTCAAGCTGCAGGAATCAGTGTGAAACAATACGAGTGTATGCATTGGAAAGAGGGTAGAGACGAAGCCTGGATGGCTCAGGAGACTGTTTGCAGGTTATTCCAGCCTGATCCATTAATGAAAATGTACAACCCCTGCTCTGACGGGAAGCAGGGAGGCTGGGGCAGTGGTGTGTGTCCAATTCAGCTCTTCTTCTGTGGCGGAGGGGGTACCAGCCACATCAGCCGTTCCTGTTAAGTCTTCCCAAAGCTGAGTTGAAATCAAAGGCAGGTTGTGGCACAGGCCAGTGACTGTGTCCCCTCCTGAAGGGGATGTGGGAGTGAGTTTGTCAGGGTTATGCCCAGAACTAAGAGAGGGAGGGGAGCAGTGACATGCCCAAATCCCATCGCCTTTCTTTCACAACTGGCTTTGGGTCTTGGCTGTGCTTTTTCTGTAGAAAAGCATGTTCTGGATCCTGACTGGGGAGCATGCAGCGAGTCCCTGGGAGCAGAGGGATGGCCCTGCTCACTCTGGGCCTGAGAGGGGCTGAGGGCATCAGCAGCTGCCTGCTCACCACAGGGGAAGGGACCACAGCTCATTCCTTGCACCACAGAGTGATTTTGGGTGTCATTGTGCCAGATACCAACACTTCCCTGAGCCAAGACTCCCAGCCGGGATAGGAAGTAGCTGAGAATATTTTCCTGCATCCTCTTTTCTGTTGCTAAAGTTAATGACTGTCATCACAAACCATTGCAGCTACTGCAAGCTGGGCTGTGCCTAATTTAGAGAGATTTGCATGCTGGCAACATTCATTTTTTATCTCCAAGAAAAAATGCATTGTCAGGGAAGCTTAAAGGCTTCCTTCAATCCTGACTGCGCAGGCACTGCTGGCCTGGTACTATCGACCGCTGGTGTTCAGAGGATCAGTGTGGAAGTTGTGGCTTTTACCAGCACAAAAAAGCTTTTTGGTGCAGATCTTGTTTAAATTCCTCATTTCTTTCTTCTGTTTTCAGCCCATTTCCTTAAAGGTGTTTTTTCCTTTTGCTTTCAGATGAGTTTAGGTTTTTACTTGAGTCTGGGAATTGTTCCCTTTCCACACCACGACCAATGGAGTTGTGGTCAGAGCTGGTCTCTGGTTCCCCCTGGAAGGTGACTGGCTGTTCCCTCACACTGCACTTGTGTTGAAAGAGGAGAAAGGGAGGGGTATGAGATGGGGGATTGAGGCAGAGCAGAATTAAGACTTAGCTTTGACTGAGAAGTGAGGCCATTTATCTGGGAGGAGAAAAGGGCAGGGAGGGTCTTGAGAATAGTGCAATAAATTGCCTGAGGGAAAGGTAAGTTTATAGATCTAAATGTACATCTTTAACCTGATTCTCTGTGTTTGCTGCACACGTCTGTGTATGTGTGACCATTTCCATGTGTGGCTGTTGAGCTGATGTGGGTATGGTGCACAGTCACTGACTGAGTCAGCTCCTCTTGGATGAGGAAAACCTCCAGGAGTGTCTGCCACGACTGAAATGTTGGTCACTGCCACAGTGAGTTGTGCTAGTGAATGTACACTGGGAGCACTCACAGCAAGGGACAGGAGCTGGAGGAACCCAGAGCACGGTGATGTGGCAGTGCTGTGGCTTGGCTGTGCCATGGCTTGCAGGTTCCCTGGACTCCCAGGGGAGCAGGATGGGTGCTGGTGCTGCTCTGGGTATCAGTGTGCAGTGCTGTCCCAGCCTGGGAGAAGGATCACGACTTCCCACCTGCAATGAGAACAACTGCTTATGGAGTCAAGGTGATGGGGCTCAGCATCAGCCTGCGACCTGGTGTTCCTTCTGCAGGGCTGGGGATGTAGTGCCACCTCTCGTGGTTCCCATGGCCGTGGTGC